TTGCATTGTGGTAAACTGTGGTCAATGTTATGAGACAAAGTATATGTAAACTGCTGTATGGAAAGTGAATTTGCTCTGTAAATCTTTACCCAAATCACAATTTAAAAAAAAAAAAGAGAGAGAGGAAAAAAAAAAAGAAAGTCCATCTCCTTCAAAATATACCCAGGATCCAACCATTTCTTATCAACTCTGATGTTACCACTCTCATCTGAACCTCTCACTTTGATTAATGCAATATCCTCTGTTATGAATTGAATTATGCCCCCAAAAAAGACAGGATAAAGTCCTAACCTCTGTACTTGTGAACGTGACCTTATTTGGGAAATAGGGTCTTTCTTTGAAGATATTATCAGTTAAATCATACCAGAGTAAGGCAAGTACTAGTCCTAATCTCTTCTGAGTGGAGTCTTTCTTATAAAAAAGAAGAACAAACACAGAATCAGAGTCATACACAGGAGGAAAACACCATGTGAGGATCTACCTACAAGCCACGGAATGCCAAGAAACACCCATGGCTACACAAGTTGAAAAATACAAGGAACGATATTCCCTTAGAGCCAACAGAGAGATAGCATGGCCCTGCAGACACCCTGAATTTGGACTTCTAGCCTCCTGTGAAACAATAAATTCCTGTTCTTGAAAGCCATTCAATTTGTGGTATGTTGTTATAACACCCCCAAGAAATAAATAACTTCAAAAACAGCTCTACCTTTTAATTGCCCAAGCTGGAAACCTTGATCTTTTTCCCTCAACCCAGGCTCTAAGCCTATCAATTCTGACTCCTTAATAATCTCATGATCCATCCAGCTTTCTTCATCTCAAATGCCACTTGCTTGGTTTCTTTACAGTTTCTTGGTTGTATTACTGAAACTGCCATCAGTTTAACTGTCCTCCCCACACAAAACTATTCTTCACATTATTGCTGTTGTTTGTCATCAAGTTGGCCCTGACTCATAACAACCCCTCCTTGGGTTTCTAAGGGGGTATCACTACAGAAGTAGATTGCCCAACCTTCCTTCCAAGGAGTGACTGGTGGATTTCAACTTCCAGCCTTCTGGTTAGCAGTGAAGTGCCTTAGGCACTATGCTACCAGATTAGTCCCAGATAAATCTTAAAAACACAACTCTTAAAAGTTCAAATCTGATCATATCACTTCCTATTTAAAGCCATCTAACCTATTAGATAGGATCAAACTCTTTATTAAAGCATATGCGGCCCTCCATTAGTGGACTATGTCTGCTGTGCTGCCCTATCCTTCCTCACTATCCACTTTGCCTGCTGCAGCCCCTACTACATTCCTCAAAAAACTAGTTGCTGTCAAGTCAATTTCAACTCATGACAATTTCATGTGTGGCAGAATTGAACTGTGTTCCACAGGGTTTTCAATGGCTGATTTTTCAGAAGTAAATCACAGGACTTTCTTCTGAGGTACCTCTGGGTGGACTTGAACCTCTAATCTTTTGGTTGGCAGCCAAGTTCTTAAATTTTGCACCACCCGAAGACTACATTCCCTACATCTCCCTGACAGGCTCCTCACTCTTAGTCCTTTGTAAGAGTTACAACTTCTGCCCAAATTACCTTTTCCCCTTCTCTGATTAGTCTGACTCTGATTAGTCCTTCAAGACACACCTGAGAAGCCTCCTCTTCCAGGAACATTCTCTGTCTATCCTGCCAGGCCCCATCTGCATGGGAACCCCTTACATGTGTTCCCACAACACAGTGCCATACATAGACCACAGCACTCAACATAGTTTTGCAATTTCCTCTAGCTTTCTATTTCTCTACCAGATTTTACCAGCTTAAAGGCAACAACCATTTTTTAATCATCTTTCTATGGACAAAGTCACATAGTGGGCATGTGATAGATATATTTTAATGAATGAGAATGCAAGTAGGACAGGAAGCATAAAAAGAATATATTGTACAGTCACTGTACAGGAAACAGTAAAAAGAACAGGAACAAATAATTGTCTGAAGTTTCTAAGAGGTTAGTTTACATAGGAATCCATGAATCTGCAAAACAATAATCCAAAAGGGTGTGATTTTTCCCCAGATATTCTCAGCAATCTTTTTAAAAAAAATTTTATTGTGATGTGAGTGCAAATTTACAAAGCAGATTCGTTTTACACACACAGTTTACACACATTTGGTTTAGCAGCTTCGATTACAATCCCCAAACATAAAAAGTTCTCTCATCTCCTCCCTGTGACTATCCCTTCCTTGTGCCTTTCTTATCTATGCATTCCTGTCTGTCTAACTTTCCCTTTATGCAAATGCTGCCCTTCTGATGTCTCTTGGTTGATTGATCTAGGGGGTGTATCTCCCTAGGGTAGTTAGGTGCATCTCCCTGGGGTAGGTGTTCTGCTTGTAGGTCTTTCGACTGTTTAGCTGAGAGCTAATGCACAGAAGTTAGTCCAGTTCCAGCCACTAAGGATAACTTGGGGCCATAATCTTGGGGTTTCCACCAGCTTCTATCCAACCAGTAATTCAAGAACATTTTCATGTTCTTGAATTTTGTTCCACATTTTTCCTCTCAATCTATCCAGGATATTCTCAGAAATCTGAGTACAAAAAATGATAGTGAATGGTTGGCCTGATCCAATGAGTATGGTAGAGTCTGGGGCAAGACACAGAGGTGGAGGAGTTTAAAGTGACAGATACAGAGGGGAAAAAAATAAATACAGAAAGAAGGCAAGAAGGCAGGGAAACCATTTGTCAATATTTAAAATCATGTTTCTATAAATTTGATCATACTATAAACTTTTTATCACTCTACATATCAAGAGAGATAAATGGAACTAGAATAAAGTACACATTTCAGTTCAAAACCAATCTGTTCTCTAAAAATACTGAGACACATTTTATGGAGAAGAATATAGAAGGATACAGAGAAGGAATCAATAATATCATTTGGTAAATTAGAATACAATTAAAATCTGCATATACTTTAAACATTAACTTTTCTATTAAAAGTTTTTAAACACATTAAATTGTCCCTAAAACCATTCTTTAAAAAATAACAAAACATTATCAATGTAACAAAAAAAAAAAAAAAAGTGGTTTTTACCTGAAATATCTGTAGCCTGTTGCTGGCTTCTTGGGGTGGTATATTTGGAACCATGGGTCCTTCCTGTAATTAATAATATAATCTACATTCTAATTACTCATATGCATTTGTCACATTATTATTTTTATCTATTCCCTTTTAAATAAACAAAAATTATTTTTAAAATTTAAATTATCCAATTTTGCTCCATTAATATGAAGCTTTCATTCAGTTTTTGTTACAGCTTTATTGAGATATAATTCATGTACTATACAATTCACCCATTTAAAGTGCACAATTGAATGGGTTTCTAGAATACTCAGAGTTGTGCAACGATGAACATAATCAATTTTAGAACATTTTCATCACTCTAGTTTCCATTCCTTTTTAAAGGACCTTGACATAGCTAACACAAAGGAGACAAAATTACGTCTTGAATGAAATTTGTGCCATGAAAACTCTGCTTAATTTCACTTATTATTATGACTGATGATGTACTAGTTGTATATTAAAATAACTGACAGAGTTCTGAAAATAGCTTTCTTACCCATATTGACTCAATATGGGAACAGAGATGCATGTTTGTTGAATACAGAGCAGAAGCAGAGGGTAAACTGTGGTGGCCATGAGCAAGAAAACAGCCCTCAAAGTACACCAAAATGATGAAAGGAATGAAAGAACTTCCCATATAGTGACATTAAAATAACAAGAACTATTTCCCATAGAAAATGAAGGGTATTAAGGATATTAACACAATCTGTACCATCATGACTATTATGTTGATGTTAGGTGCTGTCGAGACAGTTCTAACTCATAGCGACCATATGTACAATAGAATGAAACACTGAGAAGTCCTGAATCATCCTCAGTTACTGTGTCAGCCCATCTTGCTGAGGGTCTTCCCCTCAACCTATAATTATGAATATTATAGAGATGGTAAATAATAGATGGGGAGCTCTGGTAGCATAGTGCCTAATGCACTTGACTGCTAATCAGAAGGCTGGCAGTTCAAACCCACCAGCCACTCCTCCAAAGGAAGGGTGGGCAATCTACTTCCATAGAAATACCACCTCAGAAACCCAAGGAGGGGTCACTATGGGTTGGGTCTGACTCAACAGCACATAACAACAACAACAAATAATAGATGAGACTCCCAGAATAACAGAGTAATAGGCAATCAAATGTTGATTAATCCAACTTAAAGAGGTAAGTTTAGTACATGTTTTGTTTAAAAAAAAAAAAAGTGCTATATATGTAACACAAAACCCATAAGTCATCTTAGGAATCCAGATCCATTATGAGCACTAAAAAAAATTAGACTGTTTTAGGGGAACTTTGTGAGTTTAACTTCAAGGAAGTGAAGCATTATCAGTAAAAATAAAGGATGTGTAATGTATGGGACTAACCCACTATGACATTAATGATTTATATCCAGTGAAACTTTTGGTTCTCTAGAAGATAATGAAAATGAAACATCAGTTCTGATACCCTGGTAACAACTGCCATTGAGTCAACTCCAACTCATGGCAACTCCATGTGTGTCAAGGTAGAACTGTGCTCCATAGGGTTTCCCATGGCTAATTTTTCAGAAGTAGATCACTAGCCTTTTCTCCCCAGGTGCCTCTGGGTAAACTCAAACCTCCAACTCTTTGGTTAGAAGCCAAGAGCATTAATTGTTTGCACCACCCAAGGATTCCAATACCTTGGTCTAGGGCATTGATCGTTTCTTACTGCTTCCCAATAACTGTTATATTTTTTACTATGAGAATTTTGATCCTGAGAAAGGACAGTTCTTTTGTTCCATATACAATCTCCAAAGCTATTGCTCCTTTTAACAGTCAAATCTTAACATACAGTTTGTAAATAGCTAAATTACCGCATCATATGACTCTGCAAAGTTTGAAACATCATCACGAAAAATTTCCACAGATTCTAATAAGTTGCTTTTAAACTTTGGCTGCACTTGAACTAGTTCATCTTGTACAGAAACCTGAAATAAAAAAGAATACATAACATTAGGATGAAAGTAATCTATTAAAATGAGAAATATCTCACAAGAGTCTTATGTGTACAAAGATATCTCTGTAAAGGTATTTATAATAAAAATAAACAAACAAACCAAACTCACGGCCATCAAGTTGATTCCGACTCATAGTGATCCTCATTGGCTTTCCGAGGTGATAAATCTTTACAGACGTAGATTGTCCCATCTCCCTTCTGAGGGGTGCCTGGTGGGTTTGAACCAATAGCCTTCTGGTTAGCAGTCAAATGCCTTAGGCATTACACCACTAGAGCATCTTAATTTACCAAAAGGAAACTCAAATCATCCTACAGGATGATCCAGAGGCAAAGTAATTTTCACTGAAACTGCAGTTTGAAAATAGTTTTCCAATTGACCCTGATAGGGCCATCACTGTTACTACTATAGGCCCAGGAGATTTCTGGCTAGACTTCTTCCAAAATAGATTTGTTGGTTCTGGCAGCTCCTGTTATACAGTAGTCAATATTCTTCACCATCATTCAAAGGCATCAATTCTTGTGTCTTCTTTATTCTTTGTCCAACTTTCACATGCATATGAGGCAATTAAAAGTACAATAGCTTGCATCAGACACACATTAGTCTTCAAAGTGACATCATTGCTTTTGAACACTTGACAGGTCTTTTGCCCAGTGCAATGCGTCATTTGATTTTTTGACTGCTGCTTCCATGGGCACTGATTATGGAGCCAAATGAAATAAAATTCTTGACTACGTCAATTCTTTCTCCATTTATCATGATGTTGCTTATTGGTCCAGTTGTGAGAATTTTTGTTTTCTTTATGTTGAGGTGTAAGCCATACTGAAGGCTGTAATCTTTGATCTTCATAAGTGCTTCATCCTCTTCATTTTCAAGCAACGTTGAGCAATCTATGTAGGCTGTTAGTGAGTCTTCCCCGAATCTTGATGCCATGCTCTTCTTCATATAGTCCAACTTCTTATTTGCTCGGCATGCAGATTGAATAAGTATGGTGAAAGGATACAACCCTGGCACACACTTTTCTTGATTTTAACCATATAGTATCCCCTTGTTCTGTTCAAACAACTCTTGGTCTATGTACAGATGCCTCATGAGCACAATTATGTATTCTGCAATTCCCTTTCTTTGCCCATGTCATCCATAATTCGTTATGATCCACCCACACAGTCAAATACCTTTGCAGAGTCAATAACAAGTAGATAAACATCTTTCTAGTATTCTCTGCTTTCAGCCAAGATGGTCCTTCTGACATCAGGAATAATGTCCTGTGTTCCACATCCTCTTCTGAATCTGAATTGAATTTCTAGCAGTTTCTTGTTGATATACTGCTGCAGCCATGTTTGAATTATCTTCAGCAAAATTTTACTTACCTATGATACTAATTATACTGTTCAATAATTTCCACATTCCATTGAATCACCTTTCTTTGGAATGGGCATAAATATGGGTCTCCTCCAGACTACTGGTCAGGCTGTCTTCCAATTGATTGGCATAGATCAGTGTGTGCTTCCGGTGTTGCATTTGTTTTTAAAACATATCAATTGGTATTCTGTCAGTTCCCGGAGGCTTGTTTTTCAACAATGCCTTCAGTGCAGCTTGGAAGTCAGATTGGAAGTCTTCCTTCAGTACCATGGATTCTTGATCATATGCTACCTCCTGAAATGGTTGAATGTCACCATTTCTTACAGATAAAGAGACTGTGTATTCCTTCCATCTTCTTTTGATGTTTACTGCATCATTCAATTTTTTGCCCATGTTGTTGTTGTTACATGCCATCAAGTCAGCTCTGACTCATAGCAACCCTATATACAACAGAATGAAACACTGCCCAGTCCTGTGTTATCCTTGCTATTCTTGCTATACCTGAGCCCATCATTGCAGCCACAGTATCAATCCATCTTGTTGAGGACCTTCCCCTTTTTTGCTGACCCTCTACTTTGCCAAGAATGATATTATTATCCAGGGAATGGTCCCTTCTGACAGCATAACCAAAGCAGGTGAGACGAAGTCTGGCCATTCTCGCTTTCAAGGAGCATTCTGGCTGCACTTCTTCCAGGACAGATTTGTTCGTTCTGGCAGTCCATGGTACTTTCAGTATTCTTTCCCAACACCACAACTCAAAAGCATCAACTCTTCTTTGGTCTTATTCACTGTTCAGCTTTCACATGCATATGAGGTGACTGAAAATACCACGGCTTAGGTCAGGTTCACCTTAGCCTTCAAAGTGACATCTTTGCTTCTCATCACTTTAAAGAGGTCTCTTGCAGCACATTTTCCCAGTGTAATATAATGTCTGATTTCATTACTGTTGCTTCCATGGGTGCTGATTGTGGATCCAAGCAAAATGAAATCTCTGACAATGTCAGTCATTTCCCCATTTATCGTGAGGTTGCTCATTGGTACAGTTGTGAGAATTTTTGTTTTCTTTATGTTGAGGTGCAATCCACACTGAAGACTGTGGTCTTTGATCTTCATCAGTAGTAAGTACCTCAACTCATCTTCACTTTCAGCAAGCAAGGATATGTCATCTACATATCACAGGTTGGTTGTTAATGAGTTTTCCTACAATCCTGATGCCAAGTTCATCATATAGTCCAGCTTAGATTATTTGTTCAGCATACATATTGAATGAGTATAGTGAAAGGATACAACCCTTATGCACACCCTTCTTGATTTTAAACCATACAGTATCACCATGTTCTGTTCAAACAACCACCTCTTGGCCTATGAACAAATTCCTCATGAGCACAATTAAGTGTTATGGAATTCCCATTCTTTGCAAGGTTATCCATAATTTGTTATGATCCACACAGTCAAATACTTTTGCATAGTCAATAAAACACAGGTAACATCTTTCTGGTATTCTTTGCTTTCAACCAAGATCCATCTGGCATCAGCAATGATATCCCTCATTCCACATACTCTACTGAATCCAGCTTGAATTTATGGAGATTACCTGTCAATGTACTGCTACAACCATTACTGAATTATCTTCAGCAAAATTTTACTTGCATGTGTGTTCTGGTTACCTAGTGCCACCCTGGAGGAATATACCACAAATGAGGTGGCCTTAAGAAACAGGAGTTTATTCTCTTACAGTTTGGAGGCTTTAAGTCCAAGTTCAAAGTGGCAGGCTCTAGGGGCTGGGTGAAAGCTTCTCAACCTTGGGGTCCAGCTCTGGCCCTGCTCCTGGCCCACTGGAGCTAGAGGCATCTCTTCACTCAGGCAGCTAGATGGCTGCTGAGGTTAACAAGCCCAAGGTTGACAAATAAAATGTCACAGTCTCGATGTTACCAAACCACATGGCAGGCCATTAATTTAAGTCCATTTTAAGTCCCAAGACAGAGCATGGCAGGGTGCTGAACAACAACACAGCTGCAGAGTCCAAGCATGCCATAAGCTAGAGACTATCCCCAAGGCTTCTCCTTATATACAGCAAGCAGACCACATTTCAAAGGCAGCTACTCAGCTGCTTGTGGTAGATTCCATCATGGAGTTGATTGCCAGTCTCATGGGGAATAACTACCACCAGCTGCCCAGCCACTCAACCAGGCCCAGCCAAGTTGACATACAAATTTAACTACCACAATGTCATATTAATAATACTGTTTGGTAATTACCACATTCTGTTGAATCACCTTTCTTTGGAATGGGTACAAATACAGATCTCTTTCAGTCAGTTTGCCAGGTAGCTGTCTTCCAAAGCTACTGACATAAATAAGTAAGCACCTCCAGTGAAGCATCCATTTGTTGAAACATCTCAATGTGTATTCTGTCATTTACTGGAGCCTTGTTTTTTGCCAAGTCCTTCTGTGCAGCTTCGACTTCTTCTTTTAATACTATTTGTTCTCGATCATATGCTACATCATGAAATAGTTGAACACTGACCAATTCTTTTTGGTCCAGTGCTCTGTGTATTCCTTCCATCTTCTTTTGTTGCTTCCTACATCATATTTTGCCCATGTTGTCAGGTGCCATTGAGTCAGCTCTGACTCATAGCAACCCATGTACAACAGAATGAAACACTGCTCAGTCCTGTGCCAGCCTCACAATACTTGCTATACCTGAGCCCATTGTTGCTGCCACTCATTGATGGCCTTCCCCTTTTCTTTGTTGACCCTCCACTATACCAAGCATGATATCCTTCTCCAGGGAATAGTCCCTTCTGACAACATGATCAAAGTAGGCCAAATGAAGTCTGGCCAGTCTTGTTTCTTCAGGACAGACTTCTTAGTTCTTTTGGCAGTCCATGGTACTTTCAGTATTCTTCACCAACACAACTCAAAAGCATCAACTCTTCTTCAGTCTTCCTTGTTCATTGTCCAACTCTCACATGCATATGAGGCGATTGAAAATACCATGGCTTGGGTTAGGTGCACCTTAGTCTTCAAAGAGGCATCTTTGCTCTTCAGCAATTTAAAGAGGTCTTTTGCAGGGAATTTGCCCAGTGCAATATATCATCTGATGTCTTGACTGCTGCTTCCATTGGTGTTCACTGTGGCACCAAGTAACATGAAATCTTTGACAACTTCAATCTTTTCTCCATTTATCATGATGCTGCTTATTGGTGCAGCTGTCCTTTTCTTTATGTTCATTTTATGTTTGTTCATTTTCTTTATGTTGAGATGTAATCCATACTGCAGACTGTAGTCTTTAATCTTCATCAGTAAGTGCTTCAAGTCATTCTCACTTTCAGCAACCAAAGTTGTATAATCAGCATATCACAGGTTGTTAATGAGTCTTCCTCCAATCCTGATGCCACGTTCTTTTTCATATAGTCCAGCTTCTTAGATTATTTGCTCAGCATACAGATTGAGTAAGTATGGTGAAAGGATACAACCTTGAAACACTCTTTTCCCGATTTTCAACCATTCAGTATCCCCTTGTTCTGTTAAAATGACAGCCTCCTAGTCTATGTACAGGTTCCTCATGAACACAATAAGTGTTCTGGAATTCCAATTCTTCTCAATGTTAACCACAATTTGTTATGATCCATACAATCGAATGGTTTTGCATAGTCAATGAAACACAAGTAAACATCTTTCTGGTATTCCTTGCTTTCAGCCAAGATCCATCTGATATCAGCAATGTCATGTCCTCTGCTGAATCCAGCTTGCATTTCTGGAAGTTCCCAGTCAATACACTGCTGCAATTATTTTTCCATTATCTTCAGCAAGATTTTACTTGCATGTGATATCAATGATATTGTTTGATAATTTCCACATTCTGTGGGATCGCCTCTCTTTGGAATGGGTACAAATATGGATCTCTTCCAGTCAGTTGGCCAGGCAGCTGTCTTCCAAATGTCTTGGCATAGATGAATGAGTGTTTCCAGCATGGCATCTGTTGTTGAAACATCTCAATGGGTATTCTCTCAATTCCTGGAGCTTTGTTCTTGACCAATTCCTTCAGTGCAGCTCTGAGTTCTTTCATACCATTGCTTCTTGATCATGTGCCACCTCCTGAAATGGATGAACATCAACCAATTCTTTTTGGTACAGTGACTCTGTATTCCCTCCATCTTCTTTTCACATTTTCTGCATCATTCAATATTTTGCCCATAGAATCTTTCAATATTGCAACTCAAGGCTTGAATTTTTTCTTCAATTCTTTCAGCTGGAGAAATGCTGAGCATGTTCTTCCCTTTTGGTTTTCTAACTCCAGGTCTTTGCACATTTTGTTATCATAATTGACTTTGTCTTCTTGAGCTGCCCTTTGAAATCTTCTGTTCAGCTCTTCTATTTCATTATTTCTTCCATTCACCTTAGCCACTCTCCATTTGTGAGCAAGTTTCAGAGTCTCTTCTGACATCCATTTTGGCCTTTTGTTCTTTTCCTGTCTTTTTAATGACAGTTTGCTTTCTTCATGTATTATGTTCTTGATGTCACCCCACAACTCCTCTGGGTTTTGGTCACTGGTGTCCAATTCCATCAAATATATTCTTCAGATGATCTCTAAATTCAGGTGAGAAAAACTCAAGGTCATATTTTGGCTCCCATGGACTTGTTTTAATTTTCTGCAGCTTCAGCTTGAATTTGCATATGAGCAATTGATGGACTGTTCCCCAGTCATCACCTCTTTCCACAGATGTAGTCTATTTGATTCCTGTGTATTCCATCTGGTGAGGTCCACATATACAGCCACCATGTATATTATCGAAAAAAGGTATTTGCAATGAATAAGTTGTTGGTCTTGCAAAATTCTATCATGCAATCTCCGGCATCATTTCTATCACCGAGGCCATATTTTCCAACTACTAATGCTTCTTCATTTCCAACTTTCATATTACAATCACTAGAAATAATCAATACATTTTGATTGCATGTTTGGTCAAGTTTAGACTGCAGAAGTTGGTAAAAATCTTCAATTTCTTCATCTTTGGCTTTAGTGGTTGGTGCATAAATTTGAATGATAGTAGTATTAACTAACTGGTCTTCTTTGTAGGGGTATAGATATTTTCCTATCACTGACAGCATTGTACTTCAGGATGGATACTAAAACATTATTTTTGATGATGAATGTGATGCCATTCCTCTTCAATCTGTCATTGCTGGCATAGTAGAGTATATGATTTTCTGATTGAAAATGACCAATACCAGTTCATTTCAGCTTTAATGCCTAGGATATTCATCTTTATGTGTTCCACTAATTTTTGACAATTTGCAGTTTTCCTAGAGTCATACTTCATACATTCCACATTCTGATTATTAATGGATGTTCGCAGTTGTTTCTTCCCATTTTGGGTGGTGCCACATCAGGAAATGAAGGTCTCGACAGCTTTACACCATCCAGATCATTAAGGTTGACTCTACTTTGAGGAGGCAGCTCTTCCCCAGTCATATTTTGAATGCCTTCCAACCTGAGGGTCTTATCTTCCAGCACGATATCAGACAATGTTTCAGGGCTATTCATAAAGTTTTCCAGTAATATATCAGACACTGTAATTCTTAACGTTTTCACTGGCCAAATATTTAAGAAGTGGATGGCTTCATCCTTTCTCCCAGTCTGTCTTAGTCCTGAAGCTCCACTGAAACCTGGCCACCGTGGATGATCCTGACAATGTTTGAAATACTGATGGCGTAACCTCCAGCCTTACAGCAACATGCAAGCCACCACATTACAACAAACTGACAGATAAGTGGTGACTTTGTGCATAGAATCATTCAATATTGCAACTCGAGGTTTGAATATTTTTCTTAAGTTCTTTCAGTTTGAGAAATGCCAAGCGTGTCCTTCCCTTTTGATTTTCTAACTGCCGATCTTTGCACATTTCACTGTAAGACTTAACCTTGTCTTCTCAAGCTGTTCTTTGAAATCTTCTGTTTAGTTCTTTTACTTCACATTTCTTCCATTCACTTTAGCTACTTTCCATTGAAGAGGAAGTTCCTAAGTCTCTTCTGACACTCATTTTGGTCTTTTCTTTCTTTCTCGTCTTCTTAATGACCTTCTGTTTTACTCAAGTGTGATGTCCTTGATGTTATCCTATAACTCTTCTGGTCTTCGGTCATCAGTGTTCAGTATCTCCAATCTATTCTTGAGATGGTTTCTAAATTCAAATGGGATATATTCAAGGTTGTACTTTGGCTCTCATGGACTTGTTTTAATTTTCTGCAGCTTCAACTTCAACTTTTATATGAGGAATCGATGGCTCTGCAGTTGGCCTCTGGCCTTTTTCTCACTGATTATATTGAATTTCTCCTTCATTACTTTCCACAGGTGGCGTTGATTTGGTTCTTGTGTATTCCATTCAGCAAGGTCATTGTGTATAGTCATCATTTATGTTTGAAAAAGGTATTTCTGATGAATAATTCTTTACCATTACCAAGTCATCGGTCTTGCAGAATTCTATCGTGTGATCTCTGGCATCATTTCCATCACACGGCCATATTTTCTAATTACCAATACTTCTTTGTTTCCAACTTACACATTCAATTACAGTAATTATCAATACATCTTGATTGCATATTTCAACAATTTAAGAGTGCAAAAGTTGGTAAAAGTTTTCAATTTCTTCTTCTCTGCATTAGTGGTTGGTGTGTAAATTTTAATCATAGTCACATTAACTGGTGCACTTTGTAGGCATATAGATATTATACAATCACAGATAGAACTGTACTTCAGGATAGATTTTGAAATGTTCTTTTTGACAATGGATGTGACATCTTTCCTCTTCAATTTGTCGATCTCAGCTGGTAGAGCATCATTTTCTGACTCAAAATGGCCAGTGCCACTTCATTTCAGCTCACTAATGCCTAACAACAACAACAATGCCTAGGAAATCAATCTTCAAGCATTCTATTACTTTTTTAATGACTTCCAATTTTCCTTGATTCATACCTCCTACATTCTACATTCCAAATACTTATGGATGTATGCAGCTGTTTCTTCTCAAGTTCAATCATGCACATCAGCAAATCTAAGTTCTGAAAACTTTTCTCCATCCATGTCATTAAGGTCAGTGCCTTCCAATCTGATGTGCTCATCTTCCAGTACTGTATTAGACAATGATCTGATGTTATCCATGAAGTTTTTACAGACTAGTTCTTGTTTTTCAGAAGTAGATCACCAGGTCCTTCTTCCTAGTGTGTCTTAGTCTGGAAGCTCTGTTGAAACCTGTCCACTATGTATGACCCTGCTGGTACTTGAAATAACACTGTCATAGCTTCCAGCATCACAGCACAACACAAGCCATCACAGTACAACAAACCAACAGACAGATGGTGGCCTACTAGGAGAGTTATTGTTAAAAAATGAAAGAAAGAAAATAAGTGTTGTTTGGTGACGAAGTAGAGAAATTGAAACCCTCAGGCATTGCTGTAGAAACATGTGGCAGTTCCTCAAAAAAAGTTAAAGTTAGAATTAACACATGACCCAGCAAGTGCAATCCTAGGTACATATCCAGAAAAACTGAAAGCAGAGATGCAGACGGACACTTGTACACCAATGTTTATTGCAGCATTATTCACAGTAGCCAAAAGGTAGACATCCCGAATATCCATCCACAGATAAATGGATAAACAAAATGTGATATGTACATTCAATAAAATGTTATCCATCCATTGAAAGGAATGGATGGTACATTCTACAACATGGATAAACCTTGAAAACATTATGCTAAGTGAAATAAGTTAAAGAGACAAACGTTAAATGATACCACTTACATGAAATAAATAGAATAGGAAATTTCATAGAGACACAAGATTAAAAGTTATCAGGACCCGGAGTAAGGGAGAATAGGGAGTTATTGCTTAATGATCAGAGTTTCTGTTTGAGGTGATAAAATATTTCTAGAAATACATAGTGGTGATGGTTGTACAGCATTGTAACTAACACCACTGAATTGTACACTTAAAAATAGCAAATTTTATGTCATATATATTTTACCATACTAAAAACATTTTAAAAAGTAATAAAGTGCATGTTGACATATGCTATAATGTAAATGAACCTTGAAAACATGTTAAATGAAAGAAGCCAGTTACAAAAGACCACATATTATATGGTTCCATTTATATGGTATGTCCAGAAAAGGTAATTCCATAGAGACAGGAAGTAGATTATTGGTTACCACAGGATGGAGTGAGAGGTTTCTTTTGGGGGTGATGAAAATGTTTTAAAATTAGATAATGGTGGTTGTACAATTCTATGAATATACTGAAAACCACTGAATTATATACTTTGAAATGGTGACTTTTATAGTTACATCCCAATACAACTATTATAATGATATGTAGTAGGCCTACAAAAGTATAAAATAAAAAACATTAGAATTAAATTTTAACTTACAGCTTTGCTCTGCAATTTGTTGAAAGAATATCTCAAGGTATCAACTGCTTCTGATTCCTCTTTGGTTACTTCAACTTCGAATCTGTTTAAAATACCGTAGGCTTCCTGAGAAGTGGAGATGGAGTTCAAAAACGTCAGAAGGGAAAGCAAATGCTAAATGACTAAGATGCCTTCTAGAAAAAGAATCCTATGTCTTAGCAAAGGAGAACATATTCTAGAGGAGTGCTTCCCAAAATTAAGCCTATATAAAAAGCATCTCTAAACTCTCACTAACCATCAGATATTGATTGTAGATCTGAGGTTCTGAAATTTGCATCTAATAAGCACTCATGTTATTCTGCTGGAGATGGACATGGATCATATTGAGAAATACTATCCTAGAAAATACTCTAACATCATTTTCTTTCTTTTTCTTCCTTGACCTATGCAGGTTATTTTCTCATATTCTAATAAAATGTGGGTTAGCTATAAAAGGAACAGAATAAAATGATGTGGTTAATTCTCCAAACTAAAATAGTTAAATAATTAAAGGTGTTGATTGGTAATTGGCTTTACTAGGAGAATTTATGCTGAAGAATTAATCTTCCACAATTATGAAAACAAAAAAAAAAACTTGTATGATAATTTATTAATTCTTGAGGTGGTCAGTATCCAAAAAATTCCAAATACTAAAATTTAAAGAAATAATAAAGGCATGAGGATCATTAGCTACCAAAGAGTATAAACTCTAAATGTATTCAAGAAAGCATAAAACAGTCATGAGCACTGGATACCAAGAGGGGACAGTGGAAGTGATCTTTCTCAGGCATTGCAAGCAATAAGAAGATCCACAGTCTATGTTGTTGTTTTTATGTGCCGTTGAGTAGGACTCGACTCACAGCGACCCCTCCTTGGGTTTCCGAGGCAGTATCACTATGGAAGTTGATTGCCCAACCTTCCTTCCTAGGCGTGGCTGGTGGGTATGAACCGCCAGCCCTCTGGTTAGCAGTTCAGTGTCTTGGGCACTACGCTACCAGAGCACAGTCTATAGAGAATTTAAAAATAACCATAAAATTAATTAAGAGTCTGTCCGATTTTTATTATCACCATGAGCCAGAAATTCTGAACAATTTAGTGACAAAATACTCGTGGTATACAGAGTAATTCTTCCTTCCCCCAAAGATGTCCATATCCTAATCTCTAGAACCTGTGAATATGTTACCTTCCATGGCCAAAGGAACTTGGCAAATGTGGTTAAATTAAGGATCTTGAGATAAGGAGATTACCCTCGATTAAATCAGTGGGCCCAATGTAATCAAGGGTCATGTAAGGGAAAAATGGAGACAAGAAAGTCAGAGAAGATGTGAGGACACAAGCAGAGGCAGGAGCAATGTCATTGGTGAAGGGGGCCCATGAGCCAAGGAATGTGGGCAGTCTCTAGAGCTGGAAAAGGCAATAAACGGATTTTCCCCAGAGCCTCCAATACAGCCTTACCAGTACTTTGTGTTTACCCCCAGAAAAGACCCAATTTTTGCATTTCTGACTTCCAGAACTGTAAGATAATAAATGCGTACTGTTTTAAGCCACCTGACTGTGGTAATTTGTTATAGCAGTAATAGAAAACTAATATGATACTCCTCCTTGAAAAAATCTTTTATTCCAAATAATTGCTGCAGTTTACACTTGAGCCTAGATGGGCTGCTTCTACCACTTTGTCTTTGGTATGCCATTGATCATGAGTGAGACACATAACATGAATGAGCCAAAGATATTTGGGGAATTGCCTGACATGCTGGGATTGACATGAGAGAGTGCAACTGTTCCTTTCCATAAAACATTGGTGCAGGTATAAAAAGTTAAACACTGTCTAGCACAACACAGTATTTTTAACATATTAATATTCCTTTGTACATCCTTGACTGTTAATAATTGTCAAAATTCTCCCAAAGACAACATCAGAAACAAGACGTAGGAAGAATGTGCCATAAAGCAGATGAAGAAATATGTTAACAGAGTCACTTTAGTATGTCTCTATTCACAATAAAAATAAACAAATAATATTTTAAGTGCAAAAAATATAATCATGTCTTACTTCAATTGGTCCCAAAGTCATATCCATTTGAATTTCATTATCACGGATACAGGCTAAAGCTTCCATTGCAAATCTGACATCATCTAAATCACGAATAGGCCTTGATAATTTTTTTAAGTATTCATTGATAAATGTTATCATGTCTGACATTTTCTTTTTGTATTCTTCATTCAGATATCGACAGAGCAACATCTTCCATGCCTTAGCCTCAATTGATAAGGCCAATTTCATTGGCTCTGGTAAAGACAAAAGATAAAAATAGAATTTAACTGATACAGGCAGTCTCTGGTTACAAAGGAGATCAGTTCCTAAGTGTGTCTTTATAGGTAAGTCAGGACATTCACATACAGTTCTTGTTTAACCTTTCTTTAGTGCAAGAAAAGACTCCAAGGCTTTTCAGTGATTTAAAAGCTGCAAGTGTAACAAGTGAAGGTGATTTTGATGAAGAATTTGTTTTGAGGAGGGGTTGCTTCAAAGTTTTCAAAGAGAGGGCAAATTTACATAACATTAAAGGGCAATTATGAGTTGTCTGTAAATTAGATGTTGGTAACCCAAGGACTTAATGTATTCTGAAACTACTTATTGTGTCACTGAATGTCTAGAACTGCACTGTCCAATTGCATTGTCACGAGCCATGTGAGACTGTTGAAATTTGGTTAGTCTGAACTAGATGTGCTATAAGGGTAAAATACACATGAGATTTTGAAGACTTCCTATCTCCATGGAGTATGTTAAGCTGTGCATGAAAAATAGACCATAACCTATGGGGAAGAATTTCTGAAATTTGTTCTAGCATTGTCCTTGCTGGGTATCTGGCCATTCCATTTGTTGTTGTTGTTGTTATGTGCCGTCGAGTCGGACCCAACTCAAAACGACCCCTCCTTGGGTTTCCGAGGCGGTATCACTATGAAAGTAGATTGCCCAACCTTCCTTCTGAGGAGTGGCTGGTGGGTTTGAACCACCAGCCTTCTGGTTAGCAGTGGAGTGCCTTAGCCACTACGCTACCAGAGCTCCTGGCCATCCCATTAGCAGCTCTTACTCATTCCCCTATTTTCCTCTAGGTAACCTCACACAGTGAAGTGAAATCTGTTTTGTCTGGCAAACCCTGCCTATGGTTTTCTTGTCACAACACTCCCTACTTCATCCACATGGTTAGGGTATATATATATATATATAACCTGACTCCATATCCTAGATCTAGCAGATTGTCCAGATCAATCTTGAACTATTAGGGATTAATCAAAGCCCTTCCCTGAGAGTTTGGAATGAGAACTGAGAGAGAGCCATGTGTCTGAGAAGCAGAAAAAGTCATGACCAAGGAGCTCTGGTGGCATAGTGCCTAAGGCATTTATTTGACTGCTAACCAGAAGGCTGGTGGTTCAAATCCACCAGCCACTCCTCAGAAGGAAGATTGGGTAATCTATTTCATAGTGATACTGCCTCAGAAACCCAAGGAGGGGTCACTATGAGTTGGAGCTGACTCAACAGCAGTGAGTTTGGTTTGGTTTTGGAAAGAGAAGAAATGAGAGGCAAAGAGAAATGACTTCCTCAACTTCCTCTACTTTCCTGGGCCATTCCAATGGTCCAGTTGCATCTTGGATTCTGTGATGTACCTTTTTTCAAATGAGTTTCTGTTCCTTGCAAACAAAACAATTCTAAATAGTCAACTCCTTTTCCTCAATCCTTGCCCATTCCTTTTTTCTCCTCTCAGCACCCCATACACTTCCCATCCCTGCCAAGCTTCAAATATGGACTGCTCCTTTCCTAACTTACAACAGGACAAAGGAACAAAGGAAAGTGTACCCTGAGAAGAACTTCACACCCAACTTGTTGATTGAGGCTATGAGATCACATCTCATGAAACACCATGCCTCATAGGCCCCTTGAATTCCTCAGACCCCAGGAATTCAGTCAGCTTCCTCTATCTTTATAACTATTGTCACCTGGTCCATTTTTTAGCTTCCTTTCTCTACAAACAAGGAACCTGGTCCACCATAATACTATGCTACAGTTGCCTTTTGTGTTAAGGATCATAGCGCTATCTACTGAGGAAACAAAAAAGAGATAAAAATAAATAAATCATAGGAGTTCTACAGAACTTCTTGGAATCTTTGACCCTGATGTATAACTTCTGATTTCTAGCTAAATAATCCCTTCAAGTATCTGTGACTTTTCCCCAACTTAAATCCCTTTGTGGTATATATAATAATAGTAACAGCAATAATATTTAATATTTATTGAACATCAACTATTTTCCAGGTACTATGCTAAGTGTGAGCAGAAGGAGCCTTGGTGGCACAAGGATTAAGTTCTCGGCTACTTACCAAACCTACCAGGGGCTTCTTGGGAAAAAGACCGTGTGCTCTGTTCCCATAAAGACAGCCTAGGAAACCCTGTGGGGATTTTCTACTCTGTTCTATAGGGTCGCTATGAATCAGCACACAATGACAGCAACATGGTAATTCTACCTTCAGCTTTTGAGGAACTATTTCCCATAATGGCTGTACCATTTTGCATTCCCACCAGCAATGGATAAGGGTCTCAATTTCCTCACATCCTCATCAACATTTTTCATTTTCTAAGTTTTTCTTTTTTGTTTTATCTTAGTCATTTGAGTGGGAGTAAGACTCCCACTGGTGCAGTGGTTAAGCGCTCCACTGCTAACTGAAAAGTGGGCAGTTTGAACCCACTAGCTGCTCCACAGGAGAAGGATGCAGCAGCTTGCTTCTGTAAAGATTCAGAGTCTTGGAAACTCTGTGGTACAGTTCTACTCAGTCCTGTGGGGTCGCTATGAGTCAGAATCAACTCAACAACTAAACCAGCAATGGGTTTGGTTTTGCTGTATGAAAATATAGATACTTTGCACAATTAACATTTTTAATTTTAAGTACCTGTATGCAATTCAAGTGCTCCTACAACAATAATAGGCTTCAGTTCTTCAATCTCCTGTTCGAAAGTAGCATAGTGTAGAATTTCTGATCTGATTTCAGTCAGAGAGGGGTTGTTAGCCAAAAATTCCTGTAGTAAGGAAAAAGTGAATCAATGTTTAATTTTTTTGACAGTATAAATCTTATGTTTATACAGTAAAAGCCTGGGAAAGCCAGAGCCTGAGTAAGGCAGAAAACCTGTCAGAGAAGGGAAACTCAAATATTTTCCATTAAAACGAGCAACAGAAAAGTAGTAAGACTGCACCCTGTGAAAGGCAGAAAACTTAGGAAACTGGGAAAAACAAGGTAATCCTGTCAAGTTCCAGCTCACACAGGTTTCACTGTAATGGTTAAATTAGAAAATTGCATTTTTAATACTTTTACCCTTGTGTGTGCCATTAGGCCAGAGACACAGTAAAGAATGGAATATCCTGGTAGGACTGGGAAAGGAGGCTTTTTGAGGGAGTTTCATAGCATAGTATGATCATTAGTCAGAGTGCTAAAGTTTTCTTGAGTCTTTAACCAAAAAGACAGCTGGGTCAAGATAAGTGTGACTCATCCTTGCATACCTGGCCTCTGGCAGTAACTGACACAAATCAGTATTCGAGTGTTTAAGCAAATTTAATTGAATCTGTCTGAGCATCATTCTTACCACCTGCCTTAGTGTCAATGTGACAATTACATGAGCTAACCTGTCAGGTGCTTGGCATTTATAGGTCTTCTTCTCATTAGTATCTGTTATTATCACTGGTATTTTTTTTTTGCCACCCCCCCTTGAAGAGTTAGCTATAAACATTTAAAACCCAAACTGCATCACAGACTTTTATTACCAGCTGAAATATACCTTCACTTTCACATCTCGGTCTTCTGTCCAGAGAGTCTTGTACTTCTGGAAGTCCTGCAGGGCTTCATGAGCCGCCTTTCTTAGAGAATTCACAGAGGATGAAAGGAGGAGGACCAACTTAGAAATATCCTTGTGTTCTGCTACACCGGGGTAAAAATTCTTCAGTTTCCTCGCAGGAATAATTTCTTCAAAAGATTCTAAAAATGGATTTAAAAAAAAAAAAAACTGTAAATAATTTCTATATTCAATTTTAAATACTATCAATTTTAATATTTATATATTTCTTTCAAATAGGATTTTCTTCAATATTCTCCCTCTGAATAATTAGGGGCTGTTCTCTTAGTATCTTCACTTACTCTTATTAAACTATTCTATCAGATTTTGAAGTTTAGGTTTCCTTCATGCAGAAAATCTGTGTTATTCAGAGAGGAGATTAGAAAGACAATAATTAATGACCCCAAAAGTAAAACAAATGAAAAAAAAAAAGCTCTCTCAAGCTCCCAAGAAAGGTTACTAGTTGCTGTCAATTCATCTCCAACTCACAACGCTGTGTATGTCAGTAGAACAGTGCTCCATAGGGCTTTTAATAGCTGATTTTTCAGAAGTGGATCACCAGAGTTTTCTTCCCAGGCACCTCTGGGTGGACTTGAACCCCTAACCTTTCAGTTATCAGCTGAGCATGTTACTCACTTGTACCACCCAGGTACTCCAAAGAAAGGTTAAAGATTGAAAGGTTAAAGAATTAAAATTGCTATTCCACTTAATAGCATGGTGGATAAGGGTGAGAAGCACCACACAAATCACTCAAATAACCCTCTTGTTGTTAGCTGCCATTGAGTCAATTCCTGCTCATGGTGACCCCATGGTCTACAGAGTAGAACTGCTACACAGAGTTTTCAAGGTTGTGATATTTCAGAAGCAGAATGCCAGGCTTGTTTTCTGAGGCACCTCTGAATGGGTTCAAATACATCAATCTTTCAACTAGTAGTCAAGTCATTAACAATTTGTGCCATCAAGGGACTCTAAATGATCTTCCAAAAACCAAACTCACTGCCGTTGTGTCGGATCCAACTCATAGCGACCCCTCCTTGGGTTTCCGAAGTGGTATCACTACGGAAGTAGATTGCCCAATCTTCCTTCTGAGAAGTGGCTGGTGGGTTTGAACTACCAGCCTTCTGTTTAGCAGTCAAATGCCTTAGGCACTATGCTACCAGAACTTAGGCCAGTTATTTAATCTTTACAGATATGCAGTGAAAATTAAAGAAGAGAACATATGTTCATTAATATAACCTCTGGTATACGATGGCAAATAACAACAACAACAAATATAGAGATCATGAAATAACTACAGTAAAATCTACAGAAGCAAGAACCTGTGCAAGGAAGAAACCATTCAGAGAAGGAAAACTAAAATATTTTATATACAATGAGCAACAGAAAAGTGGTAAGCTTGTATGTACCCTGTCAAAGATGTAAAATGCGCAAGACTCAGAAGAAAAAAAAAAGCCTCTACCTGCTTCCACTATTATAAAACATCTCTTGCCAAAATACAAATCTGGTCATGTCACTTTCCTGATCAAACTCTCAAACATTCTCCATCAAGCAGAAACAACACAGATCTTTTTGTTTAGCTGGTAGTGCAGTGGTTAAGTGCTCAGCTGCTAAAAGGTAAGCAGCTCAAACCCACCAGCCCCTGTGTGCTAGAAAAATGTGGCAGCCTGCTTCCGTAAAAATTACAGCCTTGGGAACTCTATAGGGTGATTCTACTCTGTCCTATAGGGTCTCCATGAGTCAGAATTGACTTGATGGCAACGGGTTTTGTTTTGTTTTTTCATTCAGCATTTTACTTTTTTAAAAAACAGTTGTTAACAACCAAAAATACAGAATTTCACATAAAATTCCTGGTTTCCAAATTCTCTTTTAAAATGCTGTAATCCAGCAGTACTACTGGGCACTGGACATTCCTGCACAACAACCATTAGCTGAAGCTCACTAGTGTCTTTACAAGGGACATCCTTTGTTGACTTCTAAGCCCAGGTCACTCATTTACATTAACCTCTAGGGATTTGACTTTCCAACATCTCAACTGCAGGTTCAACTCCAAACCCCTTAGCATCAGGGTCTATTCTTCCTGCCTGGAATTTACTTTGCTCTGTCCACCAAACCACAACTCATCCTTCAAGACCTACCTCATATGTCACTCCCTGATTGTTCTCTTCAGTTTACACTTCAGTGCTCAGGCAACTTTGCAAGTACCTCTGATGCAGGACTTATCACTGTATTATAATTATGTTTCTATTAATTCCTCTTCACTATATGAGTTTATAGGAGCTCTGATAGCATAATGCCTAAGGCATTTGACTGCTAATCAGAAGGCTGGCACTTCAAACCCACCAGCCACTCCTTGGAAGGAAGACTGGGCAATCTACTTCTGTAAAGATTTACTACCTTGGAAACCCAATGGGGGTTGCTATGAGTTCCAACTCAGCTTGACGGCAATGAGTTTGTTTGTGTGTGTGTGTGTGTGTGTATATATATATATATATACACATACACACACACACACACACATAAGCTCATAGCAAAGCATCAGAATTGGAGGAAGACTCATTAACCGCACAACCTTGCTTGCTGAAAGTGAAGAAGATTTGAAGCACATAGTGATGAAGATCAAAGACTACAGTCTTCAGTATGGATTACATTTCAATATAAAGAAAACAAAAATCCTCACAACAGGACCAATAAGAAGCATCCCAGTAAATGAAGAAATGATTGAAGCTGTCAAGGATTTGATTTAACTTGGATCCACAATCAACATTCATCGAAGCAGTGGTCAAGAAATCAAACGATGTGTTGCACTGGGCAAATCTTCTGCAACAGACCTCTTTAAAGTGTTAAAGAGCAAAGATGTCACTTTGAAGACTAAAGTGTGCCAATCCTTAGGCACTTGACTGCTAACTGGCAGACTGGCAGTTCAAACCCACCAGCCACTCCTCAGAAGGAAGGTGGGGCAATCACCACCTCAGAAACCCAAGGAGGAGTCACTTTGAGTTGGGTCTGACTCGACAACACATAACAACAACAAAAAAAAAAACAATCCAAGCCATGGTATTTTCAATTGCCTCATATGTATTTGAAAGCTGGACAATGAATAGGGAAGACTGCAGAAGAATTGATGCATTGGAATTGTGTGTTGGCAAAAAATACTGAATGTACCATGGACTGCTAGAAGAATGAACAAATCTGTCTTGGAGTAAGTACAGAAGCAAAGATGGTGATACTGAACCTCTCATACTTCGGATATGTTATCAGAAAGGATCAGTCTCTGGAGAAGGATATCATTCTTAGTAAAGTAGATGGTAAACAAAAAAGGGGAAGACCCTCAACAAGATGGACTGACCTGACCCAGTGGCTGCAACCACGGGCTCAAGTATAGCAACAATTGTTAGGATGGCACAGGACCAGGTGCTGTTTCATTTTTTTTTTTTTT